TACCCCATCTCCTTTGGTGACCCTCCGGTTGGGGAACCCATCCCCAGCCATCGGGGGCATTTTTCGTGTGTTACCACCCGGCCCCCCCGCCAACCCCACCCTCCCCACCTAGTCGGGTTAGAATTTGTGTATAGGAGACCCTTTCTCATTGTTATAAAAAAAACTCCAGTGAACGTAGTCCCTAAATGATCCAGTCTCTCTTCGGTTGCGGGGAAGTGGGGGGGAGGTGCGGCTGAATGGCCTCCGGTCCCTGTGTAACAGGCTCGCGGAGGGTAAGGGGTTGCTGACTGGCGTCCTGTGTATGGCGGAGGCCCCTGGCCTGCTTTCAAAGGGGGCACCCTGCCAAGCACATGGGGAGTGGGGGTGGGGTTGTTGTTGGCATTGGTGGGAAGGCGTCTGATTCCACGGTTTACTAACGCTAACCCCCCACCCCCCAAAAAAAACCTCTGATCTTGCAGATGTACAAGGGATTCGAGAAGGTGGAGAGGGTCCACGAGGTCTATACCCCGATGGGAGATTTCGTGTGCGGCGTGATGTTAGGCCCAGACCAGATGGACAAAGCCTACGTTCTGTCGGGTAAGTGGCATCGGAGCTCTCTCTCACCACCGCACGCCCCCCCCCCACCTCCCCACTCCCGTCTCTGCGGAGACAGCGCCAACGGGATCTTCCTGTGCACTGATGGTCTCTTGTCTCTTTTCTTCCCCGCCCCGGCAACCCCAGGCAACGTGCTCTCCGATGGGAAAATCTACATCAACATCTGCAGCCTGAACAGAGCCTGGAAGGAGCTGACTCCGGCACAGCAGGCAAACCTGGATGGGAGTTACGAGGCTGGGTGCCAGTGCACAGTATGTAGAGTAAAGCTCCCTCTACGCTGGCCCCCACCGCCCCCCCCCAACTCCCCATCAAACACTGCCAAGACAGCACAGGGTTAGATACAGAGTAAAGCTCCCTCTACACTGTTCCCCCCATCAAACACTCCCAGGGATAGGGACAGCACGGGGTTAGATACAGAGTAAAGCTCCCTCTACACTGTCCCCCATCAAACGCTCCCAGGGACAGGGACAGCATGGGGTTAGGTACAGAGTAAAGCTCCCTCTACACTGTCCCCCATTTAAACACTCCCAGGATAGGGTCAGCATGGGGGTTAGATACAGAGTAAAGCTCCCTCTACACTGTCCCCATGCCCCCCCATCAAACACTCCCAGGGACAGGGACAGCATGGGGTTAGATACAGAGTAAAGCTTCCTCTACACTGTCCCCCATCAAACACTCCCAGGGACACAGGGTTAGATACGGAGTAAAGCTCCCTCTACACT